CAGCCTGAAGCACTTTCATTGCCCCCAGGATAAAATCCATGCGGAGTCCACCAGCCTCTCCTGTCTCACCCTCCTCAATCTTATTCTCCCCTGCTTGTGCCCCCAGAGCCCTCCTTCTTCCTCCCATGGTCCCTGGTCTCTCTCAGGAGGGGCCTTTCCTTACACTGGCCCCCCGCCCCGCCTCCCCCATGCTGCCCTTTCCTTGCCTGGCCAGCTGCTCCTCACCTTCAGGTCTCAGCTAGAAAGTCCCTGTCAGGGAGGCCTCCCTGATCTCCCCTTTGCGTCTGGCATGAAGGCCTCCTGCAGGGCGTACTCATTGCCCCCCGGCCCCACCTCAGGGGTGAGCTCTGTCCTGGCCAGCCTACACACAGGCTAAGGCGAATGACTGCTGGGGGGAGGAATATGCCCCAAATGACCCTCCAAAGGGAGATGCCAAGGCTGGTTCTGAGACCTTAGGCGTCTCATGGGGGAGGCGGGAGGCACCTGGCACGTACCAGGGCTACGGCCATGCAGGCCCCATGCTGAAGCAAAGTTGTAGACGCCCATTCTCAAGGAGGGCAGGCAGAGGGAAAAAGGGGATTGAGGACAGAACTTGGGACTTATCCCATTCTTGGCATGGTGAGGACAGAGGAGCCACAAAGAGCGCTTGGGAGCAGGCGGAAGAATGCAGGAAAGGTAGCTAAAATATAGCACTGTTTTTATTTAGTTCTCAGATAATCTTACTTTTTTCTTTTTCACTGAGAATAGCTGGAAAAGGAGGGCCCTATGTGGCAGTCCCTGGAATGAGAAAACCATGTGTCAAAGCTGTTGCCGAATCCCTTGCTCTATTTTTACCCTCCTGACACTACCTCTTTGAGCCCTGCGGAGGGATCCTGGCCTGAGGTGGCTTGAGCCGGCGTCTCCGAGGCAGGTGTGGCCAGCTCTGGCCTCGCTCTCCAGAAACCACCAAAAAGCTGGTAATTCACTCCTCTTGACCAGAAATAAATGCATTAGACGAATGTTCCCAGGTAGGCTTGAGGGATGTAAACACAAAATTACCCCATAAATTACTTTCGTTTCCTTTCCTCAGTTCAAAGCTTTTTGGTTGCTGTTTTGTTCAAATGGGTTACATTAAAATTGCATAGTAATTAACATTCTTAAAATAGAATGTCCATATTCCCAGAGGTAGAAAGAAAAGCCACCTAGGAATGAAAAATGTGGACATATGCGAAATGCCATTCCATTAGCCACAGAGTCTTTTCTGAGTCTCGGTGGGGAGGGCCTGTCAAGTGGGATATGTGGCAGATCAGACCGCGTCTGCGGTTGCGTTTCATTCGGCTCCCAGCTCCAGGTCACGGAAGCCTTTGACATCTGTGGCCAGGAGCTCTGGGGGTTCACTAACCTCTAATTACGTTTCTTTTTTTAAATATTGATAAACAGTCCCACTGTTGATTCAGACGATTTAAAACACTGAGCCTGTGGCTTTTGGCTCTGAGCAGAGAGGGCAGATCCTCCAGGCCTCCTCAGGCCGCAGAGTCTCACCAGAGCCTCGGAGCTCTGGGACTCATTCAGACACTGAAGGAAGAAAACTGTCCCCCTGGGTGGAGTCAGGGGAGGCCACTTAAGGATTCAAAATCAGGCCTGGCCAGGCTGCAGAGGGAAGCCCTGCTTTCCCCATGTGGGGACCTCTGGCCTCTTCTACTACCCAGGCTCCTGCTCTGGGCTCACGGTACGGGTGTGGGGTTGAGGCAGGGGTGGGGGGCCACCATCCAACAACTACTGCCCCATGGCCTGATGCCCCACTGACGTCTGGTCACCACTGCTTTGTTTATGAACCTCGTTCCCTGGAGCCATAGGCTTTGGGTGCAAACAGGACAACACTATGGCCACCACTCCCAGTATATCTGCTACCTGGGATGGAGGTGGGTAGGGCCAGAGGGGGACCAGAAGAGCTCAGTGCCACTGTCCCATCTGGGGGAGCCCCACACAGAAGGAACCCCAGGCCTGGGCTCCCTGAGACAACTGACTGCAATGTGGGGGAGGGTGGTGGCCCCCACTGCTCCTGGGGGACTCAAAGCCCAGTCTGCTGCTTGTTGCTCAGCCAGCCAGCCTCCCTGTCCTCCCTGAGGGAAGACTCAGCCAGTGGCCAGAGTACTGACGCCACTTCCATAGCTGCCATGTCTAGAGAGGAGCACCTTGTTATAAACAGGGCCCTCTGTGGTCCCCGAAGCCCTGGCTCCACCGGGCGGAGGCCAGGTTCCGTGTCATCACACCTCTCACTCTCCACCACAGCAGGGCGGCTACTATTGTTGTCACTGTTTCACAGGTGAGGGAACTGAGGCCCAGGGAAATAAAAGTGTGCTGCCCAAGATCACAGTGGAGGGGCTGGGATTTGAAGATTTGAACCCAGGTCCATCTAACTGAAACCAGAGCTCTTCTCAATCTACTCTGCCACAGGGCCTCCTGGTCCCACTTCCTGCTGTTGGCAAGTAGCCTCTGGAAGGCGACACCCTCAAATACATGCATTGGGGTGACATGGTCCTGAGTAAGGGTCAAGAGCTCTATGGAGGTAACAGCAATCATGGTGCTTGCTGTTGAGTCCTGCGCAGCTCTGCTGGGGTGACCCCTTTGTTGGGAGACCTTACTGGCATGACCCATTGGGCTGCAATATTAAGAGGTAATTATGGATTAGCTTGGTGACCATTAAGCTCTTCTGCTGTATCCCAGGAAATGGATCTATTCCAGGGTAAATCAGATAGGATCAGCTCCTAATTCAGTGTGTTGGCTCTAAGTAACATTTATCAAGATACAGAAGCTGGCCCAGGGAATTAGACAGATTAGACTGGTCAGATTAGATTTAGACAAGAAAAATAAAACTGCACTTTCTGATAGCTTTTAAAAATTAAGTGGAAGAATGCTCTTGGCTAGGAAGAATTAATATCATAAAAATGGCCATCCTGCCCAAAGCAATATACAGATTTGATGCAATCCCTATCAAATTACCAATGACATTCTTCAATGAACCGGAACAAATAGTTCAAAAATTCATATGGAAACACCAAAGACACCAAATAGCCAAAGCAATCCTGAGAAGAAGAATAAAGTGGGGGGGATGTTGCTCCCCAACTTCAAGCTCTACTACAAAGCCACAGTAATCAAGACAATTTGGTACTGGCACAAGAACAGAGCCACAGACCAGTGGAACAGAATAGAGACTCCAGACATTAACCCAAACATATATGGTCAATTAATATTTGATAAAGGGGCCACGGACATACAATGGTGAAATGACAGTCTCTTCA